GCCCTCATTAAAATGCCAATCAATTTATAACATTTTTGACATGCGTTTATCTGGATTTTGTTGTAGTTATTCAGTCTCTCACTGTTCAATAAACCTACTATTAAAATTATAGACTGATCATTTCTTTGTCAGTGGGCAAACGTACAAAATCAGCAGGGGATCAAATACTTTTTTCCCTCACTGTAGCTCAGTGGGCCTTTCATCGTAAAACAAGAAGTTTAGTTTTGGAAATTATATTTTTAAAAATAATGCACACGGTATTTTAGGGATGCATAAACCGGTGTCACTTGAAAGGTGTGGCCTTTAATAGAGATGAGTTTGAATGTTGAATTTATTTGATTTGCTACACGGATGAAAATGGTCACATTTAGCCAGTTGTCTAGCTATTTAATTTTAAAAGGTGCAGGTGCACGTAAGGCATGTATTTTCCTCGAATAGAGACGTAAATAACGTGGGGCCTTTAAGACACAAACATGAATTATGTATCGTAACATTGGGCACGAAGCCTCCGTGTTAAATTCCCCAATATTCTACGGAGCGGACCTGGTTGGTTTGGGGTCACCCCTACGCTATGGAGCTTAGAGTCGGAGCTGGGGCTCTGGTGCAGCTTGGTTATTTGCCTGCCGCCAGTGTGTTTTATATAGTACGTATACTTGTATAACGTAAACATATATAGTCATACCTCGGTATACGACCGCTTTGGAATACGTCGAATTTTGGTATTCGTCGTGTTTTGACGAGAATAAAATGTCTTGCGATACGACGTCTTGCATGGGATACGACGCCTTGCTTGCTAGAACTTGTCTGGGTCGGGATGAGTCACCACTTCCCCGCGTAGACCCCGTTCACGACTGAGACAAAGCGCCGCTCCTCAGTCTGCCTGTAGATCTCGTTCAGTGCACGACCCTTGCTATTACTCTGTGTGAATTTTCACGTGGTGTTTTTTGTCATTTTAACGTGAATTTTTTGCGAATTCATTCAAGATGGGTCCTAAGAAGGTCAGTGAGAATAACGATGTAAAAAGTGATGTTACATTCTGTTTTCATTTCAATTTATTTTAAAAATGTTATGCATTTATTTTAAAGTATGAATGCATTTTAGTAATAAGTAGTGTCTAAATTATTGTAAACAACCACATTAATGTATAATATGCCATATAAAATATAATTTCTCATACTCTGCAACGGAGTATTTCCCTTCCCTTTATTTCTTATGGGAAAAATTCGTTTGGTAGACGTCATTTTCGGTATAAGTCCTCCTACCTTCTGGAACGAATGAACGACGTGTACCGAGGTACCACTGTATATACGTTTAAGTAGTTGGCATTTTTTTACTTGGTAATAAGTAGTCCACATGTCTATGCAGCTGTGATGTCACAGTGCACATAGAACTATTATGTCACGAAGATTTATGATGTAACATAGCATGCTGTAATGTCACAGAGCACAGAGCTCGTTGCGATGTCACAAAAAAACCCCTACCCTCTCCTCATACCCCCCGAACGTGTCCCCATTGCTCCTCCAGTTGTGTGTATGAAAAGTGCACTGGCAACACAAAGTACTCCGCCAGTATTCACTGCGTTGAGATGTACGAGAGAAAACAAATATTCTTGAATTTTGCAATGTTTATTGGCTAAAATGCACCACGATCTATTGATTATATAATTAGATGTTTTACATTTAAACAATGCTTAAATAGAATAGTGGAGTTACTGTCAATAAAATGCACAACTCATTTGTAGGTTGTGTGGCTCCAGAGTCGGAGCTAGGTTTACGTAGCCACAGTTTGAAGCTCTTCTGGAGCGGCTCCAGAAATAGAGCAGAGGTCAATCTGGAGCTGGAGTCAGCCTGGAGCTGGAGTCAGAATCAGCCTGGAGCCGGAGCGGAGACAGCCTGGAGCCGGAGTCAGCTTGGAGCCGGAATCTGCCCGGAGCCAGAGTCAGCTTGGAGTCGAAGTCAGCCTGAAGACGGAGCCGAGCCACGTCCAGCAGAGGCACGGCATTGCCAACCGAGGTCCGAAGTTACCCCCTGACGCCCAATGCTAGGAAGCGAACTAAACTTGAACTAAAATGCGTACATAGTTGAAATGTAACGGTTTCAAGCTTTGAGATGTGCGTGCAGCATTTTAACTACAGACCATGCAGTAACCCATAGAAATACATGGGGACACATAGATATACATAGAGACTTGTAGATATACATGCCGACTCAGAGATGCATACAAAGACCCATATAAAGGGGTCGGAAACTTTTAAAAGTAGGGCCATTTTATTTTGTCTTTCACCAAAATATTTCAGAGCGACATCGCACGCAGAGATACTTGTTCACATACATCGCAGGTATCGTTTTAATTCACCTAAGTTGTTATTTTTTTATATTTTCAGTAGACTTTTGATTATCCGCGTGCGGCTTATCTGACCGCGCACCTGAGATTTCGCATAAATTAATAATTCATGGCTTTTCCCTCAACCCCACATTAATAATCTGAAAACAGTTACACATTGTTATTCTTGGAAATGTGTTTTACTAGTCACGTGCTTAAAACGAACAAATATGTTGCTCCGGTTAATCCGAAATCCACGTGATCGCTTCTACAGCACAGTACATGCATATTTTTACGACAGTGGGCGGAGTTTGATTGATGTTGATTGGCGTGGCTCTGCTGCTGTCCACTTAGTGGGCGAACTCATCTGCGCGGGACGAGGCAAGTGTTATCACTGACCACGCGCATCGATCGTTAGTATTTGTTCCAAATCGAAAGAGAAGCAATACAAATCGTCAGCTGTGCTTCATTTTGAGTGATTTATCCGATCATTTATTTTTGTGAGCTTTAATTTACGAAATTGTGCCATGTCATAGAAATTCAAACATAAGTTATACCTATATTGGTGTTTTTTGGCATACAGGTCCGTGGATTATCAGGGATTGTGAATAATCTACGGCCGTCCTCCTCGTCCTAAGCGCCGATAATAGAGTCCACTGTACATATAAAACTATTGTCATTAAAGAACCCAGAATGCAAGTGGGTTTAAAAAAGAGGTGGGGAAAAAAAAACTGGCAAAACACGTGTAACAAGCTCGATGTAATCCACCTTTAAAATTAAGGATCGTATGAGGGCGTCCAGGTCTCTGCCCTACCGCGATAGGGGTACTGATAGGCAGCAGCAATGTTGGAGCCAGGATTTTCAGGTTGGGGGGGGGGGGAGGGGGCAACCCCTCCAGCAATGAAAAATAATAGAGGAGTTGTTAGTAAGTAAGGACTTGTCCCTTGCTTTTGATTCGACGCGTGTGCGGCGATGGCGCAGCCATCAATCGAGGGTCGAATTCGAACCGCGTTGTGTGATCGCCATCGCGCTCGCTGAAGGTGAATGCCTTCAGGGAAGTCGTGGACGCTGTATACGCAACTGCGCACAATTCTGTGAGTCACGTATAACTGCATTGCCGTTACTTATTGCCAATTAAAGACTCAGACTATTGTGCTATCATCGCATAGAGTCCCTGGCACGTAATAATAATATGCTGCATAGTGGCAGTGGGGGTCGCAAAATGCCGATTTATTACTAATAAACCCCAATGATCCGATCGAAATGAGGGATGTGTTTAACGGGGATGGGAAGTTAATCGAAGAAAAGGGAAGTTAATCGAAGAAAAGGAAAGGTGGCAGGAATCGTGTAAGCAAACAGACCCAAAAAATGAAATCACATGAACGCAATGTCCAAGTTTGTCATTTTGATTTCTCCCAGGATCAGTGGTTACCATGTGTTGACGACAGTGGTGTAGTATCCAGAGTCCATCCCTTCTCCCCAGCCCTCCTTTTTCCGGGTATTCATGCCAGGTTCCGCAAGAACGGGGCCTATATCGCCTCGCACTCCCTCTCCTTCCCTTTTAAGACATAATGTTCAATTCCCGCCTCTCCTTAGGTATTCCTTAACAATACAAACTAAAACTTTGAAACTATTTTTATTTTACCAGCTATGGCCAACTGAGCTATATTGCTCTCTTTGGAGAAGCGACCTGGCCACTAATAATAACTCAACGAATTGGCTTATCATGTGGAATTGTATAGCAGCCAAATACTCTAAACGCATGGTTCCAAATGTGGAGGGGAAAAACGAAGTCCCGGAGGAAAATCCACGTGACCACGGGGAGAACATACAAATTCCAAATATACAGCAGGTGTCAGGGTCGAGATCGAACCCACGACCTCCTGTATACCAGGCGAGGAAGTTAACATCTAGCCATCATGGCGTCCGGTGGCCTGCAGAACTCCTAGAGTGTTTCGTACTGTTTGTTGTTGTCACTTCCTGACCCACCCCTACTGGATATCTGTGAAAAAAGAGCTCCATAGCTCATCGGGTTTTTCCAGGATTAATAAAGATTATGACTTTTCACGGCACAGTCTATCCAGAATATAGCTCTCTACGCCTCCGTACATGCTGTTGTATATAATTTAAGGCCATAGTGTTATTGATGAATGTGATGAGGTTTAGTTTTGTGATCAACAAAGCTGGCAAATAAAACAAGGCAATTCAACCCTAACTAGAATTAGGGTGTAAATAATAAGCATTATTTCCACATTCGTCACTTACACCGCCGGCGAGCCAGTGCCAAGCTTCATAGCTCATCGGATTCCTCCAGTATGCATCAATATATATTCTGATTGTGTCATCTTCGCTAACTAGTTTCCGCTCATCCCTCAAAACTCCCTTATTTTCCCTGGCTCATCACACGACCCCCCAATCTCCCCCTTCTAAACACCACTTTCTAACGACCTCCTGCAATTACCAGGCGAGGTAGTTAACATCTCGCCACCGTGGCGCTGTACGTTTTTTCGTCACAAAGACATTCTATGGTGACCCATTACGTTTCATGTTTAATACATTGATTATTATTATTGTTTTTAGGTTAAATTATGTTGAAGATTGGTTTGTATAAAGCAGTGCTGCTGCATACCGCCGTGTGTTGCTAAATCGCTCTGAACTATCGCGAGAAGTGTCTGAGCAGAGTGAGGAGCCCTGTGTCACATGACATCGAGAGAAAGAGCGAGGTCAGACGCAAAGAGAGAGAGAGAGAGACAGAGAGAGAGAGACTAACACACAAAAACTTCAGCACGTCATCACTTCTCTACACCTCAAGCAGCTCAAGCCTCCAGTAACCACGTGGCTTGTATAGCCACGCTCCCCGCAAAAACAGACGCTGCTCCTTCTCCATGCAGCTCTCTGTTGCATGCTCCTTTCTTCTCTATTCTCTCTCTCTCTCTTCCCTCCATTCTCATTGTAATCATTACCCGCTCATTATTCCCGACATCTTGGCCCGGTCATTCATTCTCCCCCCTCCTACTCCCCTACCTACCCAGCGCTCCTTCATCCTCTCTTCTATGCCATCTTTGTCTTTCTCAGAGAATTCAGTTCGGGCATTCTTTCGCTCATCTTACACTTCCCCCACCCCTTTTCCTTCCTTCCTGTCTGATGCCCTTTCTAGGTACGGACTCCACTGCCCCTTCGCATGTTCGGGCCACGGGCTGATAAACATGTTTTCGCACGCACAAAGGAAAGGACGAGCTTTCACACTGGGCACCAGTGACCGTGAATCTCCCGGCCGCCTAGTGCTTGGACAGCTCCAGGTGCCTGGCCTCTGCAGAGAAGAAGTCCAGGCGCAAGATCCGACCGAACGCCATTCGGAACGGGCGGTTGATGGACGCGTAGAGGATCGGGTTGACGGTAGAGCTGATGTAGCCGATCCAGCACACGACCTCGTAGGCAACCGACGTGTTTTTGTAGAAAGGAAATATGATCACCAGGATGTCGTAGGGCAGCCACGACAGCATGAAGCACCCGATGATGCTGCCCAGGGTCTTGGCGGCATTGTGCTCTCGTTTCATCGTTGATTTCCACCGCTTCGCCGCTTCATCACCACCACCACTGCCTCCAGAACTACCTCCATTCGCTACCTCAGTCCTTTGTGCTTCCATGGGCACGTCAGCTGTGACCCTCCGAGCTTGCCTCCTGGCCACGCGGTATATCTTGGAGTAGATCAGCAGGATGATAAACATTGAGAGGAAATAGGGGCACATGCCGTAGGCGAAGTGCAGCCCCAGGTTCACGATGAACATGCAGTTGTCTGGACAGCCTCCTCGCTCGATCGTGCCCCGAGACAGCGTGGGGCTCAGGCTGAGCAGCGCCGGGGTGGTGAAGATCGCCGCGCCGATCCAGCAGAGCGCCAGCATCACGGCCACGGTGCGGTCCGTGACCCGGGTCGGGTAGCGCAGTGGATCGCAGATGGCCACGTAGCGGTCGTAGGCGATGCAGCTCAGGTGGATGATGGAGGAGGTGGTGAGCGTGTAGTCGAGGAAGTAGTGCAGGTGGCAGAAGAAGGAGGCGTAGAACCAGCACTGGTAGACGGCGTGCATCATGCGGAAGGGCATGATTAGCAAGCCGATGAAGAAGTCGGACACAGCAAGCGACAGCGCCAGGATGTTCGCGTGCGTCTGCAGCTGCCTGAAGAAGGCGATGGCTACGATGATGAGGAGGTTGCCAAGGATGGTGGCTATGATGAAGAAGATGATGATGGCCAGCGTGAGGATGCGGTCCTCCTCGGACAGACTGGGCCCCGTGCAGTTGTAGTTCTCGTAGTGGAGGGAGCATAGCGAGCCCGTAGTGGAGTTGTCCATTGTTGTGGAGTTATCCAGCGCTAGGAAGACCAAACCACAGAACATAGAACCTCGCCTTGCCCGAACTTTAAACTTCCTGTAGTGGGAGGGTGAGTGGGTGAATGGATGGGTGAGTGAGTTCGTGAGTGAGTGGCTGGGTGAAGGAATGAGTAAATTTGGTGGGTAAATAGGTGGGTGAAAGATTGGGTGAGTGCGTGCTTGATGGAGGAATAGGAGGATGAGTGCGTGAGTGGGCTATGGGATTGGCAAATGGGTGGATGAGTGAATAGGTGAGTGAATTAACAGGTGGGTGGGTGAGTAGGTGAATGGGAGAATGAGTGAGTGGGTGGATGGGTGAGCGTTTGGGTGTATCTGCAAGTCACCAATTCTCAGACAAAGCAAGTGAACGTCTAAATCTCTCGTGAATCTCTAATCGTTGCTTTTCATTGGCCATACAGAAGATGCGTGTGTAAGGTGATTTCCCACTATTTCTCTCCGTGCGTCATAGGTTCAAGAAGATGCCCCCGCACAGTGTGTGGTATTCAACTCGTGTGCGTCTGTGTGTTTGCCATATATCAGGAGCGGTAGTGTAGAGGTTAGCGCGCTGTGCTACAAACCCGGCGACCCCAGGTGGAATCCCGCTCACGGCGACCAACACCAGTGACGATTATCTGAACCGTTACTAGGCCTACCCTAGGTCGACTTAGCCCCAAATAAGTGCCATACCTGGTGTGGTGCGTAAATATCGCCACGAGGGAGATAAAGGCGGCCGGGCGTCGTGCTCATCACTTCGCCTCTATTTTCGAGCTCCATCACTGTCTGTTTAAATTCCTCCTCTAATTCCCTTGCTTTCCAGCACCTATTTCTCATGCTCACCCTGCTTATCTACATTTTCTGCTGTATCACGGAATGATATTCTTGTTTCAATTCAATCACCACACATTAGGACTTCTCCTCTTAACATCCTTCCTGGGTGCCTCTTTTAAAAAAAAATGCCCCACTGAACTCGCTACTGCGATTGTGCACATCGCCAATGATTCATTTTCAGGTGGGTGTTTCCCACCATCTTTTAAAATAAGACAAGTTTCACCACGTCTTAAGAAATCCGGACTAGACTCAGCTGGTTACCGGCCGATTAGTAATCTTACTCTTTGGTTTTATTCGGTAAAGTCACGTAGGTAAAATAAAATAAAATAAAACAATTATATCACGACGTTTCGGAGGCAACACAAGCTTCCGTTTTCAGGTGGAATAGTCACCCGAAGACGAAAGCTTGTGTTGCCTCCGAAAAGCCGTGATTTAATTGTTTTATTTTATTTTACCTACGTGACTTTACCGAATAAAACCAAAGAGTATGAATCCTTGCAGTCACGAAAGCTTCAAATCTACGAGTAGTAATCTCTCCACCATTTCTAAACTCCTTGAGCGTCTTGCTCTTTCTCAACTCAAGACTCAAATGACCTCTTCACCCAAACATTTGTTCCTATCAATCTGCCTGCCGTCAGACTTACTCCATGGAGACTGCAATTACTGGAGTCTTCGACGACATTCTTTCAATCGTCGACTCCAGTGCAATCACGGCTCTCATTGGTCTGGACACTTAGGTCAGCTTTTTATACTGTTAATCACCTACAGCTTACTCATCTTCCAGAGTCCGACTTTGAAATCAGATGATTAGTCCTCGAATGGGTCTCATCCTCTTTGGCTAGGAGGGCCTCCTCTGTTAAAATAGGCGACTCCACTATTGTCAATCACTTATGCGGGGTCCCCCAGAGCTCCGTGCTTGGACCATTAATTTTTTGCTGTCTATACATCCCCCATCGGCCGACTTATTAATAGCTTCGGAATTAAATACCACTCTTATGCTGATGCCATTCTATGATACACATCAGTAATCCCCACTAATGCTCAAGGAATTGAAAATCTCACTGAGTGCACAACAGTCTAGCAGCACTGGTTCTGGTCGCGTGATCTTTCTTTAAATTAGGCAAAATCTGAAGCCATACTCATTGGCACCCGACAACGGCTGCCACCCTCTCTTCCCCGTAACATCACGATTGCCGGTACCACCATTCCCTTTTACTGACCACTTCGAATTCCTTGGTGTCACTCTAGATTCTTCCACCTTGTCTCTGGAAATTCACGTCAATTACATCATCAAAACTTGCAACCATCATCTCGAGGCTCTTCGTCACCAACGTACACTCATTACCCTCGATATTGCCAACACGCTCGCCTGCAGTATAGCCAGGGTCTCGCCCATGCCTCGACTACTGTGACGCCATTCTCTCCAAGTCGTCATAAAATTGCAACGGTTACAGAACTTTGCTCGTGTCGTCCTCGGTGTCCATCGTCTACGACTCGACTCGACTCAGCCATCACTCTCCGTACTCTTCATTGGTTCCCCTACGCCAGCAGGACACATGATACATTGCCTGCCTTTGTCGTCGCTTTCACCCCACCATATCTCGCCTCATTACTCTGGCCTTGCAATGAAGCACATGATAGAACCCTACCAAAGTCTCACTCAAAATCTACTTCGGACATCAAGATCTCGTATTGTCACAGCCTCACGTCAGTTCTCTACTGTCGTCTTTCCGTTGTGGGACTCTGTCCCTATGTACATGCGCAACATCAAATGCACTCTGACTTTTTTTTTAAAAAACATCTGTTTGGTCAGGCTTTCGAGCAGCCCTGTGCTTGGCTCCTTACCTGAGTTGTTGACTTGTCTGCACAATCTGGCGCGTTATAAATGTCATAATTATTATTATAGGTGCTCGCGAACGGCATTTGCCCCAGAAGTCTGTTATGGCTACATGGGGGTCTTTGTCTTTGTGTGCCTTAATAGATACTCACAGCATTTGGTCCAATATTGTATGGCTCTAAATCTTTTGGTTGTGTGTATGCCTGTGTACATAGGTATACCTTAATACATGCTCACTAACATCCCGAAGAGTATGTAATTGCAAATGCATGTCCCTATGCATATATAGGTACCTAAATAGGAGCTCGCGAAATTGATTTTAAACCATTTTTTAGGATGTAACATTTGTGAAACATGAATATGCAACGAAAGATTGTTTTTACGCATTTTTAAATGTCGGTGTTTCTGTCTGTGTGTCTCTCAGTGTAATTCGCTGCATGCAATGTATGCATCTTTGTCTATTGTTGGGATTTTAGTTGAGATTTTCGTTGCCACACTAACAGGTGCCAAGTTAATGTCAGCAAATCTACATTCTCGTTCAGTGTAGGCGCATAAGCAACTGGAAAACACATCGGAGTATATATAGTAATGCCCTGATTTAAGTCCCACCCTTATACATCATTTCGCAAATACGTCGTCACTTTATTAATACCACAACTTGATTTGCGTCGCCCCAACCCACACTTACATCGCTGACAGCATCATCCGTCCTTTCTAGTATCCGTCGCCTCTGGCTTCGCCTCCACCTACCCTGTATATCGCTTTGATTTATGTGGTCTCGATGTTCATTGTACGTTTCTGGAACGCATCCCTGATGTAAACCGGGGTATTACTGTACAGCAGGGGTCACCAAACTACGGCCACGGGCCGGATCCGGCCCGCGACGTCAGTCCATCAGGCCCGCCGTCGGTACTTGAATTTGGTTGATAAAACGTATGGAACACGAGACGTTGTGATACAATTCAAATTTAAATATTATGTTTAGAATACCAGGAGATCTTCACGCGTGTGCAGACCTCCTGACTGCTATGTGCCTTAAATTTACTATTTTCAATTTTCAATTATTGTATCTAGATTTTCTTGTTTATTGTAATGTTTGCTTATTTCGCGCCATCCCAAGTCCTTCCCCGGCTCGTGGTAGCTCCGCCTATGCTCAGACGTTGCCATGGAAACCATGGAAACCATGGCAACACGTTACCATGGTTTCCATGGCAACACACACAAACACGCATCTTTCCCGCCCCCAGATTTTCCGGCTGTCAACACAGGTCCGACGGTCCAGAAATATTTACTTCTTTTTGCCTGTCATCCGTTTTATAGGTATGTAACAAGGATTTATTTGTTTGACAGTGATAGATAAGTGAACTACAAGTGTGATTAGAGGTCATAAAGTAACAAACATAGAATAACAATGCCATAGAAGCCTCGTGTCATTACGAAAATATTATCCCCAGCTCAGAAAAATTCCCCGCTCAAGGTGTTAATCGAGCTGGTCTCTAGGCTGTTTATTTAGGCCCGCCCTATTTATATATTTTGTAAACCTTATTATGTGATATGTACTATTACCAAAGGTACCTATAAACTTCGTATGTACCTTTGGTGAGCCGTAGCTTCACCAGTGACCCCTGAATCGTCAGCTTTTCTTGTGTTTCAATAGGAAACAATTCAATGTCTTTTTCATTTTCAGATCCCGTTTTCTTCACCCTTCTTTTTTCCCCGAGCTTTCGTTCTGGCTTGCAAGTATGGAACAGAATGATTATGCAGCCCGCGCTCGTCATTCTTTCAGTTATCCGGCCCACTGTGAAAAAAGTTTGGTGACCCCTGCTGTACAGGGATACACTGATGACATCGAGGAAAGTGACAATGCGTTTGAGTGCTGTTGAATAACTGAGTTCCATACTGAAAAGTGACCAATTGTGCCGATTCATGTATATATTTACGTTTCTAATACGTTTTAAAATTACACTGAGAGCGAGAGAGAGGAGAACGTGGATGAGATGACCCCCTGCAGGTTAACGCCATCAATCAAACTATTAAGACCAGTGAGTGAGCCTTGGGCAGGATGCGTCATGGCTAGAAGGCATGTAAGGCCCACCGAGCTATATAGCTTATTTTCAGAAGCGACCTGGTCATAATAACGGAGTGGCAGCCAATGGAGAGAACGCGCAAGAGAGAAATTCACGTCCACCTCGAGAGATGGAGCGATAAAATCACCTCAAGTGCAGGTGCTGGACGGATTAACTCATCTCAAAATTATTGAGAGGTGGCGATGAGGCCGTCATCCAGCAGTGGATTAACCATGGCTAATGAAGATGATAACTCGTGTGTTCAAAACGCATGCCACCCAGAGAGCCAGCCACCCACCTGAACATCTCGCTCAGTCGCCACTCCGCGATGAGCGATGCTTCAATATTTATAAAGCCTGAAACACGGCGATATAAATAGGACCCATGGCAAGCCCTAGCGAATCGCTTAATAGTCTCGGAGGACCAATCCAATTAAGCCAACTGATTCACACGGACCAGCGTCTCGGGGATATATTGAGGGAAAACTCGGTTTGTTAAAATTAAACTAGATATTACGGGATTTAGACCTCCTTCGTCATTACCAAAATGTAATAATAGGGTTTTTCCCCTTTTTTCTGGCAACAAAACTGAAACCTTTTTACAAAGATTCATGTCTGCATTAACCACAATACCTACAGTCAAAATTCAAACAAAAAACATACTATGATAATATATGCATTGTCCTTGAAACTGATTGGTCCACACCAAGGGACGGCTTTCTTTTGAGCCTCGACCTAATTGGGGCTCGACCAGATGACGCCAAAAGGCGTGCAGCTCAAAGACAATGTACTATCAAAGTAATGAGGGCTCGGGGTGAGCATCTACA